TTTTTATCAAAATATGATACTTATGTTACTAGGCATTATTTCACTTTTATAAGTTATGTCAAAGTGACAAGTGAATTATCTCTATCTTGAGAAATAAAACATAGTCTTATATGTTTGTGTTGATTATATTAATGGATTATGTAAGCATGAACTTATTATGTTGAAAGAAGGTTTACTATTTGAATTTGTTCATCACCATCTCTTCCTTTGAAGTTTGTGGGTGTCTTCCCTGGAAAACCCTCACGAGGCTACAACTCGTCCTATTAGGGGAACCTAAAAGCTTAAGGCCTTGTCACATACGGTAAATGCTATCTTACATTGCTTACGAAAAGGCAAATATCTTGTTTTAAAATGAATTTTTTTTCTCGCCTTTATACTTTTTGTTTCACTTTCTTGCTTAAGGACAAGCGAGATGTTGTTTGGGGGTGTTTTATAAGCGCTCAAAAGTGTATATATATCCCTCTAACTCACGTATATTTGTCCCAAGTTATGATATAAAGTGATATGATATGTTTGGTATTGTTAGAATTACGTGTTTGCAGGTACGTTTTACTCGGAAAAGCTTAAAGGAATAAAAAATCAGTAGAAAAACTGCTTCAAGTAACCAACTTGATGCAATTAAACGAAAGGGTTGGAGAGCTCGGATTTTGAATCTCAAATAGGCATTGGAAAGCTCTCACTTCTTACTTCAAGGCTGTCAAGATAGATTGCAGAAAACAACATTGGAACCAAACCTAAAATTCTCGTCAAAACTTATCAGACTGCGTCTACTACTGGTCGTTTTTTGGCTTTTTGGAAGTCGTGTTTCTAGAAGGAATTTGGGCCCAATATTTTTACTGAGTGTTCCACGTGCTTTAAAGCGAGGTAATACCCTGTTTTTCCTTCTATATTTACAACCTTTATTTTATATTGCATGCTTACTTGCATTTATATTACTTTAGTCAAAATTACTCTCAATTAATCAAATTTCTACATTTCGTCAATTATCTATTAATCCCTTCATAAATGACATCATTTTTCATCGTATTGTTTCTTGTTTGTAGCTAAGTATCCAATTCTTGGGTGAGTGGATTCGATACCCTGATACTTACCTCTACACTAGTTTTAGGATTTGTTTAGTTTTTAGAATCATAAAGGAAAATCATTTGAATCATTACCGGTAGAATTAACCACTTTTACGCAGCTTGTAGAATTGGCACTGTTTTTGCTGGTAATATCAACTTTCATAAACCGTTTACCATGGTATGGACACCTGAAAATTCTTACTTTGGTATTTAAACCTTTAGCACTTATGTGGAACTCCTAGATAATAACATGAACAACATTATCTTCAAAGGGGCAAAATTCAGTACGCATGGCTTGTTCAAGTATATATAATTTCATATCTGGGCTTGGCTTGAAGTAGATAAGAAGAGGTGGATGCAAAAAATGGACGAAAACGTCATTGAACTGCTTTTCCAGTAGCAAGCATTATACATGGATTAAGAGCGTCTACAGAGCTTTAACAGCAGAGAATGTGGTGGAATAGATTGCATCAATAACAAAGGGTAGGGATGCACAGAGCCGGCCCTGATGGGAGGTGGCACAAGCCATTGCTTTGGGCCAAACAAATTTGAAATTTTTTTGGGCCACACTGATCAGTTATGCAAGGACAATATGGTAACTTGGAAACAAACTATTTGAACTTCTTGGGCCCATCTATTAAGTAACTCTTTCAACA